AGCTCCAAGTATGAACGCGTTCAAGAACAGACTAGATAAAGCTATGGAAAAATATATGTTCAGATTTGAAATGCCTAGCTCCTTATCGAACCCGGTGGAAGTCTAGTAGCTATTTCAAACTATCGCCAGTCATGAAAAGATCCGATCAAATGATACGAGTTTAGATCTATGAACAAGGCACGAAAAGGAAAAGAATCGGCGACAGGCCACATCAGCCTACATTTTCAGCGCCGACATCATTATGTTATGTATGTTATGTTATGTGAGGCCCGAGCAGAGCGAAGAGTGAGCTTGGGCACGGGAAAGCAGTTCAGAGAAACAGGAACTTTCGAGCAAAGGACACAAAGCCTTCGCATAAAAATCCTCAATGGCAGAGAGATATTCGGGAGCTGAACAGCCAATTTGGTCTTTGTTCTTTCTGAAGAAATTTTCGGTAAATAAGAGTGCGGACCCCAGTAGGCTAAGGCCTGCATAGCTGGAATGTCCACGACTCAGTTGCGTGCACCACTTCAAGCAGCAGGTAATGGCCAGCTGGGCTAAGGGCACGGCAGAGCCCCACTCAATGATTGGCGGCTGTAGCTCCTCCCCGTGAGCTTCATCGAGGCCCACTCTGAGCCCTGCGTGCTGCTTCACCTGCCGGTCCAGGAGCGTCTTGGTAGCGGCAACGCTCACAGCTTTTCTCAGAGAACTAAATAAGTGTGCGCCAAGCTCAAAGTTGAGCTGGTTGCTGCCCGTGTCTTCATTGATGGCCACTTTATCTCTGTAGAAGTGCAGATGACGGATCAGTAGCGGCAGGAACGACAACAGCGACTCTTGTGCCTGCATGAGACCGAAGCCCAGCAGGACGCTGAAGAGTTCGTGCGCCGCGACGGAGAGCTGCAGCGCCTCGCTCAGAGGGAGCGCCATCTCGGTGGGCTCCACCGACATGAAAGTGAGCAGCCGCGTCATTATCCCGTGCTTGGTGACCACCTCCTTGGATATGTTAGGGCCCCAACTGCAGAGCACCTGTACGTGATAAAGATCCTGTTTGTAAAGGTGAATAGTAGAGGTAGAAAAACGCTTAGGGAACCAAACAATGTAGTTCATTGTAAACGAGAGCAGATGATGAAGAAATGCTATAAAATTCAACACGTAATTTGTGACCCATACGAAAAAATTCAATATATTTTAACCCCTAAAATCAAATACCAACCAAGAAAAGCCTTTGAAAAATATAGCTTTCAAACCTAACATTGTTTGTCAATATTTACAGCATGCCTTGGGACGATACTTGGCAAACTGTACTTGGGATCACATTGCCAAGAAGTAGTACAATGAACAAGGAGTAAAGAACCTTGAAATCTTCATTCACAAATAAACAATAATCTCCAAAATTTTTTCAACAATGAATTAAATAATCGTTAACTAACGTAACAATTAATCAAGAGCGTTAATAATCTGTCACTGCATCAAGCCCGGCGATAAGTTCATTATTTATCTCGACGTTGACGAGGGCGAGGACGTGTCTGAGGGGCACCCCGTGCAGGGAGGTGACGGTGACGACGTTATCGCCGGCGGTGATGGCGGCGGAGTCGTGGGGCAGGTGGCGGGACACGAGGACGCTCAGGAGACCCTCACAGGACGCCACCTCCCAGGCGGCGGTGAGAGAGTGCGCCGCCACGCGCGTCAGCACCGACACGAGCTGCGGCACGCACTCCGGTGGCGGCGACAGCTCCTCCAGCGTGTACCTGCCGTCACACAAACGCGTTATGACTGGAAACTTACATGGAGACAAGCTGGGAAGATAGCAGTTCAGTTATTACCTGCAGACAAAATAAGTGCGTAGTGAGTTATAACTGTGAGGGGTGTCAGTTTTTGAGATACTAATTTGAATCCAGCAAAAAAATGCCATACATAATTTATCAGCAGCAATATCTGAAACAACTTTCCTGCAGGCTGGAGCAGAGGCATCAGGCAAACAACGCATTCCCGCCAAAGCGAGACTACAAAGTAGAATGGAGTCTGCCAATAGGTAGCTTACTAGGCGTATCTTCTCAAGAGTTCTCAGTCTTACTAGGCGTATCCTCTCTCCGCAGAGGATACGCCTAGTTCTCAGAGAACAAGAAGGTCCGATCGCCTTAAAAAATAGCCATTTTCCTAGACTCTATCACCTGCGCGGGCCTAGCTGTGGTCGGGCGTCTGCAGTTAACTTGCGTTGCACTTACTTCGGGTGGGGCACCCCTCCAGGCGCGGAGTACACCAAGTGTGGGAATGTCCTACACTCCACGCAGCATCTCTTCTTTTGCCCGTTCTACTGACGACCCGTCAGCCAGCTCAATGCGGCAAGTACTGTCCGGGCAGGGACCGTTTTGGCATTTGTCTTATCAATTTGCCCCACCTCACCGTCCTCTTCTTCATGTCGCCATATCTCCCACCTACCCGACCCCCCCCCTCCACAATGTGCCTAAATGTTCGTCACAACAAACAACTACAAGCGTCACTCTTCAATCTATACATGCACGACATACCCGAACCACCTCCAAACATCCACATTGCCTCCTACGCAGACGACGTCACAATAACATCCACTTACCCATCCGCAGACATATGTACTCAACAAGCACAAACATATCTCAACACTTTATCACAATTGCTCACACTGAACAGACTCAAGGTTGCTCCTAGTAAATCCACAAACACATTAATGACCAGCAGAGCTGGGCAGCGCTACTTGGAAATGTAGCGGCGCTACCGCTACCGCTACATGCTCTAAATGTAGCGGGCGCTACCGCTACCGCTACATGCTCTAAATGTAGCGGGCGCTACCGCTACCGCTACATGCTCTAAATGTAGCGGGCGCTACCGCTACCGCTACACCCACTAGATTGTAACGGGCGCCACCGCTGCCGCTACAGTAAAATGTAGCGCGCTACATTAGCCGCTACAATGGCCAAAATTATTGGAAATCTCTAAGTATTTATTGTTCTGCTAATGGCATTTACTCATTAACATTTAATGATAATAAAACATTTTAAGAACATATCAATACAACTTTATTGCAATTAACCTAACCGAACTAGTATGGATTACCCCAGGGTTAGATACAGTAATTAGAAGTTACAGTTATTTTTATGTTTTACCTTCCCTACATGAATGTGAACTTTAATCTACCAATCTAAGAAATTATCCACATATACATATAAAA